TTGCGGAGCGCTCCTCTTCCTCTGTCCGAGGCTGGTGTGGGGTGAAAATCCTCCACCTCAGACGTTCAGAGATGTAACTCTGCGATTCTGTGGTCACTCTCCATGTAGCATCAATTATGCTAATGCTAGCTGCCTGTCACGTTCTCTCGTCCTGGCCACACCTCCGCTCCCTAACCCCCCCCTTCCCACCCACTTTGATGCATTTTTCAAATTTCGCCTTGGGCCGAGTTATCTTTTCACAGTGGGGTAAGATACACTTTAACTAAATACAGTAAATGGGGCGTGGCTATAAGAGGCGTGGCATGTTATAGATCCGCCCACTTGTTTTAAAAAGCCTTCCCCGTTAAACAGCTTACATTTATTTCTTAGCACCTAATTCAAAAAGGTATCGACTACGTTAACAATTAAAAAAACATATTATAACGACATATACTGTATTAACTAGACAGAGGGATAGGGGCGTGGCTGTGAGAGGCGGGGCATATCAAATACAGTATCTGCCCACTTTAAAAAGCTTGCCCCGTTAAACAGCTTACATTTATTTTTTAGTATCAAATTTTAAAAAGTAACAACAATATTAACAATTAATGAAATAAAACAACATGTATAAACTAAGCAAAGAGATGGGGGCGTGGCTATAAGAGGCGTGGCAAAGCATTGGTTTACACACCTTTTTTAAAGGCCTGCCCAGTCAAACAGCTTACATTTTTTTCTCTTTTGTACCTAATTAAAAATAAAGGACATATTAACAACGAGTGACGTATGTAATAACAACAAATTAACAAGACAAATTGATGGGGGGCGTGATAATAAGAGGCGTGGCATGGCATTGACACACCCACGTTTTTAAAAGTCTGCTATAAAGATTACATTTTTTTGTACATATTTAACAATGAATAAACAATATATTAACAACTAGTGACATATATTATAATGTATATTAACAACTAGACAATAGATAGGGTGTGGCTAAAAGTGGTGTGGCATAGTATAGACACACCCACTTTTTTAAAGGCCTGCTTTAAAGATGAAATTTTTTTCTTTTGTACATTTTTAAAAATGAATAAAGGATATATTAAAAACTAGCGACATATATTATAACATATATTAACAACTAGACAAATAGATGGGGGCGTGGCTATAAGAGGCATGGCATAGTACAGACACACCCACTTTTTTAAAGGTCTGTCATAAAGATTATATTTTTGTACATAATTAAATATGAATAAAGGATATATTAACAACTAGTGACATATATTATAACATATATTAACAACCAGACAAACAGGACATGGCTATAAGAGGCGTGGCATTGCATAGGCACACCCACTTTTTTCAAGTTTTTCCACTTAGAAAATTTAAAAGAAATGTAGTTTATCAATAATTGTAAAACTTTGATTGACAGTGAACTACTACTGACTACAGTGAAGATTTATCATTTTTGTATTGTCTTTATTACATGGCTTCTGTGTCTGAAGCTGGTTCAGTTAGACCAGTTTGGATTTGATGGTTTCTAAGCACTGTTGAGGCAGATCTCTCTAAACTTGTAGTTTCTAAAGTTGGGTTTGGGAACAGGAGGTCAGGCTCAGTTTGTTGTACTGACGACTACTGTATATAATTACTCTCATTCTGAATAAATGTAATACTTTAATGTCATGATGTGACATCAGTAGTGCTTCACAGCAAGGATAACGTTTCCATATGTGAGCCATATCTACCATGAGACGCAGGCGCCGGGACAATCGATGAGAAGAAGATGATGCTGGGTGTAAACACGCAGCTTTAATGATTTTTATGGAGTCATCTGTAAGAATGAAAGACAAATGAGTTTAGAGTTTAGGTGAAATGAAGCCTGAAATTAAAAGTTCAATATTTTTATACAACCTGTTCAGTGATGTTTGGTGTGTAGTCTGGCTCAGGCTAGAATCAGATTCAGTTCTGGATTTCCAAAGCCGAAGGATGTTGTGGCTTCAAGAAGAGCAATAGGTGGTTTGCTCCACAAGAAACAACTATTTTAATGATTTTTGGAAAGATATTCCACTTCCAACAGGAGTTAGACCCTCAGTCCACACGGTCTGAGTGTAATCATGTGACGTACAATAATATCAATGTATCATGTTAAATGAGCCACTCAAAGAGTTTATTTAAATATAAAGCTTTATTATCACCTGTTTCAAAACCAGCGCAGCAGGTCAGGAGATATTATTGCAGCTTTGTGGAGTGTGTAATGGGATATCTCTCAGGACAAAGAGCCTGATGTYGTTTCGTTTCATTAACTGGACGATCATTTCATGATGTGCATGATGTACACGCCACCTGAGCCAATGTGAAAGACTGGTCTGTTCAGAGCTGCATTAGACATAAACCACTTAAACTGTTGTTCAGTGAAATCATGAAACATCATCAGCCAATAAAGCCAGTCTCTCGCTGAGTCGCAGGGGTTTATAGCCTGTTCTAAACAAATCTTCAGAAAACAGTCGCTGAGTCGTCAGAGACATCTGGACCCTCAAGTCAAAAGTCTGAAACGTGTAGGACGACGGTACAAGAGGGGTGTGTTAACATGACAGATTAAAAAAAAATCATATTTATTTGGTCGAGACGTCTCAATTTTAATAAAACAGACTTTTCTGTGCACGATTTGCAAAACTGTATTCTTGGTTGTGCTCATTATTTTGATGCCTACATCAAACTCGCCTCAAACTGCAAGTGTCAGAGCTGAAGATGTTGAAGTTCTCCTTGGGAGAATGTCACTTGATAAGATTAGCCAGTTGGGGGGACAATTCCGCTAATCAACGACTAATAGCAGAACAAATTTTTCRTTTAGCAGGCTAGCTAACAGCTAACGAACAAGCTAACATCAACAGATTTGTGTCAGTCCCACCAGTCTTCAGCTCCAAGAAGATGAAGATGTGTGACATAGTCTTGGTGACAATTGTTTAAGCAGTTAGCGATTAGCTGTTAGCATTAGCTTCGGCTAATTATTTTACATGTTCGATGGTTTAGCAGTTAGCTGTGCCCAACACAGAGATTAGGAATAAGATCATTACAGCACAGGATGAAGGACGTGGAAATAAAGTTAGAGAGACCAGACTTAGATGGTTTGGACATGTCCAAAGGAGGGACAGTGAATGTATTGGTTTGGATGTGTCCAGAGGAGAGACAATGGGTACATTGTTTTGGACATTAATGGGTGTATTGGTTTGGACACATCTAGTGGAGGGACAGTGGATATTTTGGTTTGGACATATCCAGTGGAGGGACAGTGGGTGTATTGGATTGGACACATCCAGTGGAGGGACAGTGGATATATTGGATTGGACACATCCAGTGGAGGGACAGTGGATATATTGGATTGGACACATCCAGTGGAGGGACAGTGGGTGTATTGGATTGGACACATCCAGTGGAGGGACAGTGGGTATACTGGTTGAAGAATGTTAACGATGCAGTAAGAAACAGGTGCAGGACGCCTGCAACAAAACTGAGATGTCTTTGAGACAACATCCTCAAACATTTTGACAAAAAATTTGTTGTACAAATTTTACGTAACGTTCAAACACAAATGACGGGACTATGTGTCTCTGAAACTTTGATGCCTTCCGCAAACTAGTCTTCAGTAGCTCCGGTCCAGCAAGGTACTGGTTTTAGCTGCTAACTTTGAGAGTTAAATGTGCAAAACTGAAAACAGCCTTTGTTGGGGTTCAGCTGATGAATTTAATTTGTGTAATTTCCCTGATTCTCTAATCCAACCAGTGCAAGAAGTGTCAGGTCCATTAACAACACTTCTTTATGAGCTGTGCATCTTGACCCCTATTAAAGTACTGACACTTGGACAGCAGATGGTGTTCACACACACACACACACACACACACACACACACACACACACACACACACACACACAC